CCTTGGGCGGGCCTCGAGGAGGGGGTTATGTCAGGGATCCTCTCTGTTCCTGTACGTCGAGTTGTCTGGTTACAATTAAATATCTGTTAATCCACACTTTGTCAGGGATCCGCGGGCGGCTAGGAGGGGAGGCTGCACGCCACTTGCAGCACTCACCCTCAGTCCATCGCCGCCCGCGGTCTCCCCTCTGCTTACCTGTCGGCGAGCGGCGTCTCCTCTGTGCCGCTCGCCGCCAGCGTCCTCCACGCCCCCCAGCGGCAGCATGTATAACGCTGCACGCTGGGAGGTCAATGAATTAAGTAAACGCCAGGGTCACGTGAGTGACCCGGCGTTAAAGAAACAGTACCACAATCACAGTGGGAGGTATAGATATCCCCCACGTGTGATTGTTAATTCTGATTGGAAGTTATCCAATCAGAATTAAACCAAGGGTATTTATACTCACCTTTCCTGTCTCTCAGTGCCCTGTTGTGGTCTTGTGATACCTGTAGCGTAGTGTTCTCGTTTTGCTCTCTGGTTACTGATTATTTGGCTCGTTATTCCGATTATCTGTCTTCTCCACTCCTTTAACCTCGGCTTGTTTCTCGTTCTCCCGTTTTCTGGTTCCCTTTACTTGGCTTGTCTCCTGACTACTCTTAGCGTGCTTAGCCCGGCCACTCTAAGGTCCGGTACAGCACATTTTCTGTGTGTGTGTGTGTGTGTGTGTGCCAGCGTGTTGGGTTCCCCGAATCGTGACACCCTTTGTACAGCACTACGGAATCTGGTGGCGCTATATAAATAATAAAATAATAATAATCCCCATCTATTGGAAACAACCATGCACCCCCTCAATCAAGAGATGGTGGAGGAGGTGGAAGATACCAGAAAATTCGAAAATCTGAAGGCAACCACAGTACACGCAAATGAAAAATACACTAAGCGCTGGTTCTACTGGCTGAGACATATTTCATCCAACGAATTCCTACAACTACTCACCACAACCTGAACGACAAGAACACAAATACGGAGTGACCGTGCAGGAGCTTCAGGGAGGGCCCCTGGGGCGGAGAGACCTGGAGCAGAGGCTGGGGAATACCGCACAAGCAGGTACAACAACAACCCCCCACCCTCCCTCTTTTTTTTTTCCTTCTCGTTTTTCCCTTCCCTGCCCAATATACCTGACACGGACCGAGACAGACCGTAGACTAGGGAAGCAGATCCTCCCGAAGCACACACCTAATTCCAGCCACGAAGTAGGACACAGAGCCGACGACTAAGGTCGCACACAAACTAACACACGCATACCTGCTTCTCAAGCACACATTAGCGCACTTCAAAGCTGATGGCCCGACGAACAACCCAACACGCGACTCTACTCACAACAGAGGCCAGTCACTCACACCAGACGGCCAAGTAGACAAACCTGAACTACTAAAAGACACGAGACGCACTCTATCCCACACCAAGCACCACCTTGAAAACACCGACCGCAAGGCTCACAAACACAGCACGAATACAACTCCTACACAGACCACGCTCGCAAGAGTTTTGATGAATAAACCTCACAACTCTAAGACGGTCCCTGAGTGGGCACGATGCTTCACAGATTGTTACTGTAGCCAAATTGCAACCCAGTTCAGAATTGCTATGTTACCTAAAGTTCTGTTTTACCTTACGCAATATGACTATGCCTCTGCGAAGGCGATAATATGCGTTCACCCTAACTTGATCAAAAAAATAAGTTGACTAATGTCTATACACCCAAAAAATGTGTATGCTTAATAACATGTTTGCACTCAAAATAAAAAACGATTTAACATAAAATTGTGAGATGTCGTAGTTACAAGTCATTGAGCCCATACCGTGGTATATGTTTAGATATGGCCTAAGCCACTAGTAGAGTAACGTCCTCTGCACTAACCAAGTCAAATGACACAGAAGCTCATAAGAAAGCACTGATTTCAATGCTTTCCTATGAGAAGCATTGGATGCCCACATTGCACTTACCACTCATATGAATCAGGTCATTGAGGAGCATTCAATTGGATCATCACTGGAGGAGGCCATGCCTCCTCAATGACATAATGGGAGGCAGAGAGGTGAGTCTTGATGCTGAACAAAGGTGTATAAGACCTTTATTCTAATAATTTTAACAGAAAAGGGAGAAGACTTATATATAACTAGGGACAGGGGCACTATAGCTTTAGGAATACAGGTTAGTATTCCTAACACTCTTGTTACATAGTTTCATAGAAATATATGCTGGAAAAAGACTAATTAAGTTCAGCCTTTCTCACATCAGGTTTTGCTGTTGATCCAAATAAAGGCAAAAAAAAATTGTTTAAGACACATTTAAATTTTTCAACAAATTAGGGGAAAAAATCCTCGACCCAAAAATGTCAGTGAGATCTCTTTTTGAATTAAGAAGCTGTTTCACAAAATCTTAATATCCCTGAATATTATATTTTTGTATTCCTCCATGGCTCCATGTTCCTCCATCCTTTTCCTACCATCACCAGAAGTATATCAGCCAGAAGAAGTTATATCAGCCAGACAGAAGTACACAATGAGGTGTTACAAAGGACACTGGTGCACATTGAGTGAGGAAATCTTGTCCAAGGGAGTTTTAACTCCACTTGTAATAAAATAAACCGTGCTGATAATGGAAAATTAGTAGCACTCTCTAGATTCAATATCACTAATTAGAGTGTGGTAAAATGGCTATTAGGTTATAATTTCATACAATGACAAAAAGGAAAGTGGAAAAACACCCAGTAAATGTAAAAATTCTCAAAACAACCTGGAAAATATAATCCAGGGAAAAAGGATCTTTGGCAGATTTACAATAATGATAAACATAACATAGCGTAATACAGTATTTGAATACAAAATTGGTGATGTAAGGTAGAAAACTCACAAACAAAAGATGAATCGAGCTTCTTACGCCACCAGGGGTTAAATGGATGGAGAGGATGGTGGCTCTAAAATGATGGGGATCCATAAATATGTGGAGTAAAAAGGCCACACATACTGATGTAAAATTAGAAAACAAATACACTTTATGTGATTGCACGTCAAGTTGAACTCAATAGTAGCGTAGTGGGTCTGGGGTAACCAACTTCAGCAGCAGGAAATAAAACAAAGATAAAACAGGGTATATATAAAATTAAAGTCCATAAAAAGAAAGAAAGAAAGATCCAAAGCGTTTCGTCCAATAGGGTGACTTCTTCAGGGATCTGTGGTGACTCCTCATATGGAATTCTTCTTATAGTGCTGGAAATCTTCATGAGTCCGTTTCACCTAATGGCGTGTATTCCACTGTGGAATGCAAAGACGCATTTCCTGTGCGTCTGGGAAAATGTAGATGACGTAGCGGTACATATGAGAGTGAATACAATCGGCAATAGAGCTTGCGCATGTTAATAGGAAAATCATGCGCATAACGATAACTAGAGTTGAGCGGACACCTGGATGTTCGGGTTCGGCGGTTTCGGCCGAAATTTTAAAAAAAGTCCGGGATCGGGCTCGAACTTGACCCAGAACCCCATTGAAGTCAATGGGGACCCGAACTTTTGGCCACAAAAATGGCTCTAAAAAACTCCTGGAAAGGGCAAGAGGGCTGCAAAAGGAAGTAAAATTAGGGTAAGAGTAGGACAAATGTGGATAGGGAAATCACTTAAAAATAACATAAAATAAGCAGCCGCTTAGTAGATAACTCCCTAATTCACACATATTGGGCAGACTAGATGGGCCGAATGGTTCTTATCTGCCGTCACATTCTATGTTTCTATGTTTCTATGTTTCTATCTACCAAAAGGCTGAACAACCTAAATTGGTCACCTTAATTGGTCTTTCAGTCACATTTACTAATACTAAGTAAAGATTAAAAAAAAAAAAAAAAACTATTGCCCCCACCCCTGTTTGACGGATGGGGGCCATAAATAAGAATGTGGAAGGGGGGATCTACTGTCCTCCCCCTGGCCCCCACCCCTGTGTGGTGGGTGGGGGCCATAAATAAGAATTCGGGGGGGGCTACTGTCCTCCTCCCTGGCCCCCACCCCTAAGCAGTGGGTGGGGGCCATAAATAAAAATTGGGGGGGGACCTAATGTCCTCCCCTGACCCCCACCCCTGAGCGGTGGGTGGGGGCCAATAAATAAAAATTGGGGGGGGGACCTAATGTCCTCCCCCTGGCCCCCACCCCTGAGCGGTGGGTGGGGGCCATAACAAAAATCCCCCCAGGTGACTAGGGGTCTCCAAACCACTAGTCACCCCCCTCTCCCCAAAAAAATAACCCCAACCCCCTCATCCTAAAAATAATAAGGGGGGACCCTTGTCTAAATAACTGTAAAAAAAAATAGACTTACCATTTGATGTCTTCTTGCTTCTAAAATCTTCTTATTTCAGCCCCAAAAAAGGCCAAATAAAAATTAGTAGCCACAGGCTGCTAACTGTTTAATAGACACGCCCCTACTCACGGTATAGCGAGTAGTGGCATAATTTACTAATACTAAGTGACCAGCTTCTATTGAGGCTGGGTCACATGCTGCACTGGTCAATCACAGCCATGCCATTAGTCGCCTTGAAACCGAATAATACAATAAAGAGAATGACACTTAACAGAATGCCATAGAAAATCTAATTTATATACTGTGCTGCTGGAAAATATGAACAGATAAAATTATATAAAAATTATATGTAATTCTGCAGAAAATAAAAATAAAAAAATATAATATAACTGTAGCGGAGAGGCAATATTCCCCAGGTTATCTCCGCTTATAATCCAAGTGAGGCTCAGGAACAAGTAAATAATAAATCCACAGGCAAGATTTCCAGCAGGTAAAATAACAGCAATATCCCCACAGCAATCCCAATAACTGGACGACACACAGTTTCAGGAGCAGAACTGAAATCTTTTAATCCACACTGTCCTTTTAAAGCATGCTCCCATGCAAGGGAGGGATTTACAATCATTAGTACAGTAGCCAATCCTGTCCTGGTAACCTCCCACACATCTCCTCCCCTCAGCCTGCATCATAATCCCCTTATCCAGTCTAGCAATTCCCCCCGTTTCTGGATGTACCCCTAAACGTAGGGGTACCCCTTTAAATCCTACATCCCCTGATAGCCCTGATCTGGGTGAGCAACATATCCAAAAATCACCCAGATCAGACCAGGGGTTCGGGAAATGTATGGAGGGAATAAAATGACCGACCGCACTGACTGAGATAGCCGAATGCGGTTCCATGCGAATGGGAATAAGGGAACAAATTGCACGAAATCCTTTAGCTATAGAGACTAGGGAGGGTTCGCCTGAATCCCCTCGTTCGGTTCTTTCTATCTACCGAACGAGGGGCCGTTCGGTAGTTAGCAACCGAACGGACCGGGCTTGTGGAGGATTCAGCGGTGTTCACCTAGTCGAGTGTCCGATTTGAGTTCCAGACACTCGACGGCAAAACACCGCTGTTCGGGAGTTTTAAAATGGCCGCCGCCACGTGTTCGTTTGTCGAATGGCGGCCACCCCCGAGAACAAAGGACGGCTACTTAACTTGTCAATTACCCGTTCGCAACAATGTTGCAACGGGTAATTGAGGAAACACTTTACACAGGGGAGGTCTGATTGTTCGGTAGTTTCATTCCCTTAGTTTATTTGAATGATTCTACCGAACAATCAGAGGAATACAATTCTTTTAAACACACATAACAACCGCAGATCACACGAATGCAGTTATTCACAATACATTTGCAGGACAGCCCAGTGCCATCCGCTACAATAACTATAAAAAATATAAAAATAAATAAACCAACAGCACAGTATCTTCAATAACCAACATAATGTATTTAAATACATATATATATATATATATAATGTGTAAAACACATAAAAGGACTGGAAGGAAAAAGAGCACATTATATAAGACCCTGAAGGTCTATTTCAGCATTCAGACCTTGTTTCAAAGTTTTAAAATTGTAAATCAAAAAAACTTCTTGACGAATAAGATCTTGTAATTTATCACCCCCACCCCCCCCAACCTAAATCAATCTGGTCTATACCAAATGCTAAAAATTTATCCCAGTGAAAAAAAGAACAGAAATTGCAATGTTTTGGTACACTATGATCCAATTTACCCTTTTTAATATTATTAAAATGCTCCAACAATCTAACATGGAGCTTACGTGTGGTACGACCCACATACTGAGCTCCACACCCACATTGTAATAAATAAATCACAAAAGTGGAGGAGCATTGGATGTATTTTTTAATATGATAAAATTTCTTAGTATATGTACCTATAAAATTTAAAATTTTTATTTTTTGGTATTTACATGTGGAACAATGCCCACAGCAAAAAAAAAAAAAAAAAAAAACGTATAAAATTTTTGAATAAATTGGAGGAGGGAGGAGGATTCGAAGGAAGGAGACTAGGGGTCAGTTTGTTTTTTAAAATAGTTGCTCGTTTGTATATTACTGTAGGAAATTTTGGTAAAATGTCCATAAGTAAATCATCTTTGTCTAGACTATACCAATACTTCCTAAGAATTGTTTCGATCTTTTCAGCTTGAGCATTGTATTGAGTTATAAAAGCAAATTAGAATTTATTATTTTGAGTATTGTGTTTTTTCTCATGATACTGACTAGTATTGTCTTGTTAGAGGAGAGATCTATCAGTGTTTAATACAATCTGTTCATCAGAATTTAACTTGCTTACATTGTAACCTTTTTCCAGGTAACAGGTTTTTATAATCTGAGCTTGTTGTGAAAAAGTTTCAACATCAGTGCAGTTTCTTCTAAAACAAATTAACTGGCTTTTGGGGATATTGGTGAGCCAAGCAGAATGGTGGGAACTGGAATAATCTATTTCTGTGTTGCAATCAGTGGGTTTGAAAAATGTTTTGGTTTTTAAGTGATTTTGACTTACATAAATAGTGAGATCTAAAAAATCTATCGAGGTTGTATTCGAATTGAAGGTAAATTTTAAGTTATAATCGTTTTGGTTGATATATTAAAAGAAAGTATTTAAACTTTCCACGGTTACCTCCCAAATTAACAATACGTCGTCTATGTACCGCCGCCACAGGACCAGTCTGCCCCCAGGGTGGAACCCCAACTTAATATAATGATGCTCCCAATGGGACACATAAAAGTTGGCAAAACGGGGGGCAAACTTAGTACCCATGGCGATGCCATATCGTTGTAAAAAATACTGCCCATTAAACCAAAAGAAATTCTGTGTAAGTACAAATGCAATACAATTTACGAGAAAATTAATTTGTGTCTCTTGTAAATGTTTATGGGAACCAAGAATCTACTTTATGGTCACTATTCCTTTCTGATGTGGATTGTTGGAATATAAGGCCGTAATCTCTGCCGTTGCCAATATAAATGTGGATTTCCATTGGATATGTTGTAAATCCTGCAAAATATTCTTAGTGTCTTTAATATAAGTATTACTTAAAGGAACATAAGGTTGAAGGAAAAAAAATCCACATATTCGGATAGATTACAAGACAATGAATTAATACCGCTAATGATAGGGCGGCCTGGGGGTTTTGTGAGGCTTTTGTGAATCTTCGGCAGGAAGTAGAAAAATCAGTAGCTTACAGTTGGGGTTAAAGATGAAATCGAATTCATCTTTACTGATGACATCCCCTTCTAAACCTGTCTAGAGCAATTCTCTTAACTCCCGCAGAAAATTAAATGTAGGGTTACATTTTAAAATTTCATAAGTATTGAGGTCATTCAAAATTTGATATGCCTCCTCCATATAATATGGTCTGTCCATGATGATGGTGCCACCTCCCTTATCCGCTTTCTTTATGACTAAGTTGTGGTTGTCAATTAAAGATTTTAATGCTAATCTTTCCTTGTTAGTAAGATTAGATTTAAAGCCATTATCAGTTATGTTATCCAAATCTTCCTGTACTAGTTCATTGAAGAGGTCTAGATATTTGCTTTTAGCTGCCCAAGGAAAGAATTGAGAGCGTGGTTTTAATGATGTGTGTATGATACCTGTCTCCTGTGTAGAATTAATATTATTGTCCATGGTATCTGGTATGTGTTGTTACATTTGGATTATTATGCTGATTTCTGCTCTTGAAAAATTTCTAAATTGTCAACTTTTTTAGGAATTTTTGGTTGTCCAGATATAGATTGAAAGAATTAGAATTAGAAGTCGGGGCAAATTTGAGTCCTCTCTTTAATAGTGACAGTTCATAAGGTGAGAGCGTAACATTTGATAGATTAAAAATGCCCTCTGTATTGTTTAGTTCTGTCTGTATGAGAGTTGTAGTGATGTTTCGTCTTCCTCTACTTCTGAGTGTGGTCTTTTATTTATTGGTGATGTTAACGCCTGAAACCTGTTTTGAGTTTGAAGTGGACCTGATCTTAGGTCTGGCCCCCTGTCTAAAAAAATATCTTGAATGTCATGAAGGGATGTTTGAAAATATTTTTTTTTAGAAAATCGAGAATTGGAATTTGAATTAGAATTAGAGTTGGAACGAAAATCATGATTAGAATTAGAAGTGTAATTAGAGATACGATTAGATGAATAATTAGAAGTGGAATTAGAATTTGAAGAATTATGTCTAGTTTTGCCATTAAGGTGAAACTTTTAAGAATGTGGGACTTTAGAATTTTCCTTGTTTCTTTGATTATAATAATTTTGATGTTTAAATTTAGACCAATTTCTTTGGATGCCTTTTCTGTAATCATCTCGATCTCTTGGAAATTTGGTAGATTTTGTATTTGAAATGTTTTCATCTATAATTTAGATTTTTTTCTTTTAAAATCTTATAATTATTTTCCACTGCCTTTGGTTCTCTGAAAGTGGAGATGTGGAGTAATGATCTCTTCCTCTAATACCTTTAATGATCTTTTTTGGTAATTAACCAAACCTATCATGTATTTTTTTGAACATTCATCAATCCTCCATTAGTAATTTGTCCTCTAAACCAAAAGCTGGAGTTTTTAAAATCCTCAATTCTCGAGGTATGGTGTCAGAGGCCACATATTGTTCCAATGAGGTATTCTCCCACCATTTTCGAGTTTCCTTCTCTATGAGATGCTCAAGTTTGACAAATTTTCTGTTTAGGGAGCTATCCCCAGGGGGTGGATCTCCCTTAAACAGAGAATCAATCCTCTTTTTCCTTTCATTTCTTATTTCATCATATACATTATGAGAAGCCATTATAGTGAATTAGACAATAGTGATATACAGGTGAGGAATAACAATACAGTGAAAAAGAAGGGAGTATACACACTAAAGACAAGAGTAATATACGTTAAACTCAGAGTGTTCCCAGGTGTACCTGTATACTCCCTTCTTTTTCACTATAATTTCATACAAACCTATGGGAATAGAAAATCAACATCCTATTTTATGCGTGCTGCTAGCCTAACTCGCCATTTAAAAAGGCAAAAACTCATACTTCTTCAAAGGTTTTACTCAGATAGGTGACATGTGATAATGTATGTTTCACAAAAGGTTAGCTGCACATAAGGTGTTTTAATTTGAAGTTTAATTGAGTATCATCAGATTCATTGGTGCACACATATACACAATGGTAGCCATTATTGACATTAAGAAAGTTATCATGTGTCCATTTTTACCATGCATCCTGACACATGTTGCACAGTGTGCTTACCATTAGTACATTAAATGCCAAAAACAATGATGAGAAATACAGTGTATTCTACTGCCAACAGGAAAATCTCCCAGCTTGACTCACCACATACAGAGTACATCATGTTAAAATCCAATGTACATTTTTAAGAGTCAGCAAAGACGATCTGCTTTGTGTACAGGTTTCAAAGCTGGAATTATGTTGAAAACGTTAGTAAAAATAAAATCAAACTCAAGTAACAGAGGTACAGAAAAAATAAACTCTTTCAGTTTAATCATGAGCCTCTATGTTTTTACTCTAATCTCATGGATTCAAGTTGGATGGGCAGATTCTTGGGAGTCACCAAATCATACAACATTCCACATGGACTTGATGAAACCAAAACATAACAGCTTCTCTTTGCCTTTCTATGCTATTATTATACTTTGAAAACTGCTAAAACAATGTATAATATATTTAAAGTAGAATCCAGGCACTCAGGTTTTCATTTAGTTTTTCAGATTAATCTTTTTTTTTATTTTTTATAATTGTTTATCACAGAAGCTTGCCCTTCCCATTTCTTTTTACCAAAGTTCAGTGTTACCCTTTTTGCTCCTTGTGACGAGA